ACAGACAATGAACTTCCAAACAAATGGGAAGTGCAAGTGGGGGGGGGCAGGATTGAAGCTGGCGATGGATAAACCAATAGTCCAGGAAGACCTGACCACCTTGAACTACTTCAAATCTCCACGGCCGGATGAACTGCATCTGAGAGTATTGGAGGAACTGTCTGAAGAACTCTCAGAAGAGCTATCCATTATGTTCTTGAAATCATGGGAAATGGGTGAGGTGCCAGAGGATTGGAGGAGGGCTAAAGAGGTCCCTATCTTTAAAAAGGGCAAAAAAGAGGAAACTGGGAACTACAGGCCAGTCAGCCTGATGTCAGGGAAAATTCTGGAACAAATTATACAATGCTCATTATGTAAACACTAGAAAACAAAGCAGTAAAAACTAGAAGCCAACACGGATTTGTTGAGAACAAACTAATTTGATCTCGTTTTTTGATCAGGTCACCTCCCTGATAGACAGAGGGAATGCAGCAGACGTAGTACAAACTTAATCCGTACCAGAAGATGTTTGTAAGTGGAAATGCTGGTACGTTGAAGCACCATTTTCCATTGAAATGCATGGGAATGGGATTAATCCGTTCCAGCATTTTAAAAAAAAATCAAAAAATAATTAAAATACGGTAAAAACAGAGCAGTTTTTAAAAAGCAAAAAGCAGCACCTTACTTCGTTGCCAGCGCCACCGGGCTCTTCCTCCCGGCTGGGCTTTCCCTCCCAATGCTAGGAAAAGGCACCCCCCCCTCCCCGAAGTGGCCAGGAAAGGCACTCCGCAGCCTTTCTTGGCCACTTGCCGTGTAGCGAGTTCATCCTGCCTGATCTCCGCTGGGGGTTCTTCAGGATCCCATTGCTGGTGCCAAGGAACAGCTGGTGGGGCCGGTGCCAGCACCCCTTTCCGCACAGTGCTGAAGGAGGCAAAAGCCAGGCAACCACCGCCGACGCTAGAGGAGCGGCTGCAACCCCAGCATCCAGGAGCTCCCCTCCACAGAAGGAGGAGAAGAGCAAGGATGGACCCAGCGCCGGGAGGTAGAGGCAAGCAGCAGGGACGGATCCATCCCAGCTGGGCTCTGACTCCTGGCGCTGGGTCCATCCCTGCTGCTTGCCTTCTGGCTGGGCACCAGGAGGCAGAGCCCGGCTGTGTGGCGAGCAGCGGCGATGGACCCTCACCGGCAGGCAGAGTCCAGCCGGGATGGGCCGGCAGCTCACCTCCCGGCAACAGCAGCAGTGGAGGCAGCAGCAGAGACCGACCCAGGACCAGGAGGCTGAGCCGGACCATCCCGGCTGGGTTCAGCCTCCTGGTGCTGGGTCCCCGCTGCCTCCACCGCCGCTGTTGCATCCCTTTTCATAACCATTGGAGCAAAAGAGCTGTACAAAGAAGCAGCCTCTTCTGGTTGTTGTGGGTTTTTCGGGCTCTTTGGCCGTGTTCTAAAGGTCGTTCTTCCTGATGTTTCGCCAGTCTCTGTGGCCGGCATCTTCAGAGGACTGGAGTAGGAACTCTGTCCTTGCTCTGTTGCTGTTTGTTGGATAGTTGAGTATTTATAGCTGTGGGAACAGCTTTTGTCTTTTTTCAGGAGACAGGGTGATCAGCATGTTTTTGTTGTGATCAGGGGGGAGAGATTATCTGTCACTGTGATTGATGGGTGTCGCTGGCTGATCTTCGCCACCAACGGTTTGCATTTTCCGCCCTTTTCTCCTGCCTTTTTATGTTCACAAGTGGAAGCTCCGCTCGCAACTTGATGCAAAATTTTGCGAGAGGAGCTGCTCGTAAGTTGAAATGTTCATAGGTAGGGGCATTCGTAAGTCGAGTCACCACTGTATATCTTGCCTTCAGCAAAGCTTTTGACACAGTGCCCCATGAGATCCTGATTAGCAAGCTAACAAGGTGTGGGCTAGATAGATTAAGTTTCAGGTGGATAAACAATTGGCTACGGAATCATACTCAGAGAGTGAGGATTAATGGGTTCTTCTCTAACTGGGAAGAGGTGACAAGTGGGGTACCCCAAAGCTCAGTCCTGGGACTGGTGCTCTAAAATATTTTGATTAATGACCTGGATGAGGGAGTGCAGGGAATGCTTGTCAAATTTGCAGATGATACCAAATTGGGTGGAATAGCTAATACCCTAGAAGACAGAAACAAAATTCAAAATGACCTTGATAGGATGGAGCACTGGGCCGGAAGCAACAGAATCAAATTCAAGAGGGAGAAGTACAAAGTTCTGCACCTCGAAAAAAGAAACCAATGGCACAGTTACAAGATGGGGGACACCCAGCTCAGCAAAACTACGAGCAAGAAGGATCTTGGAATTGTTATGGATCACAAGCTGAATACAAGGCAACCGTGTGGCGTGGCTACAATGCTCTTTAAGGCAATTTGCCTAAAAGAGATGCTCTTTTAGGCTGCATTAATACAATTATAGTTTCCAAATCCTGCGAGGTGCGAGTCTTCCTCTATTCAGCTCTGCTTAGGCGTCACCTTGAGTACTGTGTCCAGTTCTGGACACCACAGTTCACGAGAGATGCCAAAAAAGCTGGAGCAAGTTTGATGATCGGGGGCTGGAAACTAAGCCTTACGAGGAAAGGCTGAAAGAACTGGGCATGTTTAGCCTTCAGTAAAGAAGACTGAGGGGTGATATGATAGAATTTTTCAAATATCTGAAAGGCTTTCATACAGAAGAGAGTCAAGATCTGTTTTCCATCATCCAAGAATGTGGGACACGCAACAAGGGGTTCATATTAAAGGATGCCAAATTTCAGATGAATATCACAAAAAACATCCTAACAGTTAGAGCAGTGGAACCCGTTGGTGAGTGGTGCAACAATGGATGCATTTAAAAAAAAAAACTTGGATAATCAACTGGAAGATCTGCTTTGATTTGTATTCCTGCGTTGAGCAGGGAGCTGGACTTGATGGCCTTGGAGGCCCCTTCCAATTTCACTTTTCTATGGTTCTATGAGGAAAGATAAAAAAAAATGCTCCAGAACCCTGGAGGAATTAAGAAGGAACTATCCTCCAAGGGCTGAACAGAGTAAGTTAGGAAATTTAATTGCCCCATCTACAGCGGATATAGCTGATACAGAATAAAGCACATGGATGACCCGTGTTGTTTGGGTTGCAGGCAGTCTAAGAATATCATCTTCTGACATACAACTCCCCAAGAAGGGTGAGAAGTGCAGCTTCCTTTCTGAGAAGCTTAATTTAGCACGACTAGCTGTTAAATACACCATCAGCCCATACTGACATTATCAAAAAAATAGATGGGCTATTTTCACTGCTCACATCCTCAGTTACCAAAATAGATAATTGAAAGCATGTGTGTTGGTACATCTGTGGCCTGCTTTACATAGACATCTTGCAACATTTCCCCTTGCTTCTTGGGTCGATGGGAAGAAAACCCAACACCTTTTTAAAAAAAAATTATTGGTAACCCTTGAAAGAGCCTGTTCTGATAGGAGTACCATGTGCAGCTGCAAACGCAGGAAAAAGGCTAGTGATGCCTATAACACTTCCCTGCATCTAAAATTATGCACCTGATGCCCTGGGTGAAGTTGGCTAGCTTTGGAGGAGCCACAAGAGCCTTCACATTTATATGGCCATGTCTCTTTTTTAAAAAAAGATAGAAAGTGGCTACAGGGGTGCCCCGCTTGAAAATTACCCCTTTTGATGACGAATCTGCGATCGCAAAACAATGATTCAAAGGGGGGTTTTCATTTGACGATGAATACTTTCCTGCTTCGGGAACCGTTTTTTCGCTAGACGACGATCAAAAACAGCTGATCATTGGGTTTTCAAAATGGCTCCCCGCTGTGTTCAGGACGAATTCCTCGCTTTACAGGCACCGGAAAACGGCTGCCCTATGGAGGATCTTTGTTGGACGGTGAGGTATTTCCCCCATTGGAACGCATTGACTGGTTTTCAATGCATTTCAATTTTTTTTTTTTTTTTTGCTTGACGACGATTTCACTCTACAGCAATTTTGCTGTAACGGATTATCGTCGTCAAGTAGGGCACCACTGTATTTAATTATTTGAACACAATTCTGAACGCTAATCCGACATCAGTCAAGAATCATTGCTGTACAACTTCTTTTTACACAGACACACATCCTAATACTGTTTTGTGTCGGCCTACATTGTGTCGGCCATTGTCTGGATAGTTCAGTGAACTGAGTACCCATGTACAGAGCCAGAGAGCAGGAGTTTGATTCCTCCCTGCGGCTCCTGAGAGAAGTGCCAGCCTGGGTGTAACTCTGGGCAAGCTACATGGGCCCAGAGGGAAGGGTGATGCAGCACTTCACAAGTACCACGCCGTTCCTGCTTTCCAAGAGACTGACAGGAGACCTAGCCACATGGGCATGATCCCTTTCAGAAAATGACACAGGTAGATATTACTTCCCTTTTTTTCATATCTGCGGGGTGTCATTTTAGAAACAATGGGGTACATTTCTCAGAAAATATGCAGGGAAGAATAAAAAAGGGGGGAGGCGGCAAAAAAGGCTGGTGTGCCTTCACTAAAAGCTCAGGGAGGACCTAAAAACTGAAAAAAGGACATGTACAGGAAGTGGAAAGAAGGCCAGGCCACCAAGGAGGAGTACAGACAAGTAGCAAGGAAATGCAGGGATGGTGTTAGGAGGGCAACAGCTGAGAATGAGCTGAGGTTAGCTAGAGACACTAGAAGCAATAAAAAAAAGCATTGTTCAGGTATGTGAGTAGCAAAAGACAAACCAAAGACATTGTGGCACAGCTCTCAGAACCGCCGTCTATTCTTTTCTTCAAATCATGGAAAATTGGTGAGGTGCCAGAAGATTGGAGGAGGGCTAATGTTGTCCCTATCTTTAAAAAGCATCGGGGTACCTTCCGGTTTAGAAGCAATGGGGTACATTTCTTAGAAAATAAACAGGCAACCCTTAATTTTCAGAGAGCTGGCACAGGCTTCACATGGACTGAGGCTTTATCTTCCCTCAAGGGAAAAAAACCAACAACATCTAATGACAATGGTTTCAGTCACCTTGATTCCAAGCTCTATATTTTCTCCACCATAAACATCCATTCCAGGATCAAGGAGGCCAATTTCTCCAAAGAACTTCCTGTTCACCACAAAAGAACAGCCTATCATAGCTGGAGTCCTAGAGTACGATGGACAAGACAAAGAAAAGGAGAAAAGGCATTAGCAAAAGACCAAAATAAAATAAAAACCAAATGAAGTTTGCTGATTATTTCATTTTCATTTCTGTGGGTTTGTGGTGTTTCTTAAGGAAGTTAAATCTGTTTTGCTAGGGGGGAAAACACTAAATGACATTTTTGCTGTATTTTCAAGGAGTTGGTGGAGCCATCAAAACCATTGATATTTTTTAAAAAAAGAAAGGAAAAAAGGGGGAAGAGCTTCACACTGCTTATTTTCCTTGCATCTCTCCTTTACAAGGCAGGGAGTGTGTTCTTCCTGTCACCTGAGACACTTTTTCCAGTGCCAGACCTAGTTAATCCCTCATGCTTCAGTAGTTTATTTGTCCCCCTGAAATTCAAAAAAGGCACAGGATGAACCCCACACACGACTAGGAACCAATGACTATAATAAGGGAAAATAAATCTATTTGGCTGGCTGAATTTATTTTGCTTATCTGTCTTTCTATTTGGTACAACACACATTATAAATTATGTTTTTTTCCCCAAAGCTGCAAATAACTTTCCAGTCACTTTGAGGTTTGCAAAATGCAAAAATACAGGCCTGAATCTCATCAGCAGCCCCACTGTGGCCCTCAAAATGTGTACAGCTCAATTCATGGACTAGCAGTTGGGTTCAAGCCATAATGTGATCGAGTGGAGGTCCAAGAAGTGGCAAATGTGGTCCCTCTTCCCTCCTCTGTCTATAAAAGATGCCACTGACATCAGACCACTCGGTGCTGCCTTCCAAAGCCACTCATTTTTGTAGCAATGTAAGTGGATGAGATGTAAAATTAATGAGTGTTAGCTATAACTTCAGCAGCAAAATGTTTCATAGTACCTCAAAGGTTTGGTTTTTTAAAAAATTATTTTATATAGGCTTTGGTGAACTGCTAATTTTCTTCATGCTAAGCTTCCATCAAACTTCAATAGAGTCTTCAGATTTCCAACATACTCAAAAGATTTCTTATGCTCTCATTCAAGCCCCGTTTAGTCAACTAATAATTGAAAACATGAGTGTGCAAAGAATACACATGATTTAAAAAGCAGCAACAACACACAAGAGTGTGGCTCAATCCAGTGTTGGTGAAGGTGGGGGTGGGTGGGAATAAAGGGAGAGCTTAGCCCCTCTGCTCCAGCTCCAGAAAGCAACAATAGACAGGCAGGCCCCATAAGGTTTGGGGCTAACTCACGACCCAGTGAACTCTGTATGTCTGCACTGCATCGCTTGAAGGGAATGGCGAGTCACAAGTTTGCAGCACATGTGCGTGAGCTGAGCTTTTCGGTCCGAGTCCCCTGTCTCAAGCAACTTGAGACTCCAGCTCGAGGCTGGGGACTTGGGACTCCGACACAAAGATTTGCCAACATCCCCGATCCCTTGTTAGACTACTATGCCAGCGCAACCGTGGGAACACAGATACTTAATGGTTGGCCCAAAAGTTTTTTGTCCATATAACCTCAGATGGAACACCACGGATTCAGGCAAGATAAATTCAGCCAGGGACTTGTGGTGGAGGAAGAAGACAGCTCTGGTGCCAGAAGCAAATGGATCCCTCTTCTACAGAGTTCTGGAATTCCCCACAATGCAGGAATTATTCGAGTCCATGATCCTGCCTACACCGTGGTCCAGATTCTTAGACGGGAGTGGCTCTCCAGGCATGTTTGGTGGAGACAGGGAATCCCGGGGCAGGGCCAACGGATGAGGGGTGGGGACTGTCCAGGGCCTGCTCCCTTGGAGCAGCCTTCTCTTTATTGATTTAAATTATATTTATCCCACCCTTCTCCTTAAAAAGAACCAAGGTGGTTTACATCATTAAAAGACAGTATTTAAAGCTAAAAAACAAAACACCCCTTCATGGATTGCTGCCTTGTCGTGGCGAGGGGGCTCGAGTAACTCAGTGAAGCTATGGGCTATGCCGTGCAGGGACACCCAAGATGGACAGGTCATAGTGGAGAGCTCTGACTAAATGCAATCCACCTGGACCAGGCACTGGCAAGCCACTCCAGCATCTTTGCCAAGAAAACCCCATGAACAGAAACAAAAGGCTAAAAAATATGATGCTGGAAGATGAGCCCCTCATGTCGGAAGGTGTCCAACATGCTACTGAGAAAGAGCAGAGGACAAGGACAAGTAGCTCCAGAGCTAATTAAATGTTTGGACCAAAGCTGAAAGGACGCTCTCCGCAGACGTGCCTGGAAGTGAAGTGAAAGTCCGAAGCTGTAAAGAAAAATACTGCATAGGAACCTGCAATGTAAGATCTATGAACCTTGGTAAGCTGGA